TCAGATCCAGGTGCTCTCTCCCCACTCGCCAACGTCTCCTCCCCCGCTGGGGCCCCAATCTCATTATTTTCCATATGCTGCTTTCCCTCACCCCCGGGAGCTGTAGAAGCTTGTGAAAGTGTGTGTGTGTGTGTGTGTGTGGCACAGGGGTGAGGGGTGGCAGGACCATCTTTGGGTTTGGGGCCTTTGGCAGCAGGCCTGGAGCGGGGGGGGCGTACCGGAGAGGTGGAGGAGGGGTTAGGCCTGATTGCCCCTCAGGTGGCACATTCCTCCTGAGTCTGGTTGAGATTGGAAACCCTCTGGCATAGGGGCCCCCACAGGCCTCCTAGGAGGTCCCTAGCCGCCAACCCCCAGGCTCTGCTCCCCAGATGCCCCCTTCTAGATCAAGCATGGTGTTCAGGGCCGAGGGGTGGGGGTCCGGTAGGGCCCTGGGTGGAGGCATCTGCCCCCACTCCCCACTGATTGCGATGGGCCTCTTTCTGGGATAGAAGGGACAGAACCTTGCAGAGGTAGGTAGAAGCTGGAGGTGCAGGCCAGCTGGGATCATAGCTGCTGTCTCCCCCCCGTCCCCCCAGTGCTAAACCCAAGTCCTGGGGTCCACCTGTGGGCCTGGGATGCCTCTCTCCATTCCTGCCCCTCAGTCACAGCCTCTCTCTAACAAGGCCAGCTCAGAGAAGACTAGACACCCCTCTGAGTGGGCCAGCACCCTGGTCGCCTCTGCCCTAACACCTCTGCCCCCGCTGCTCACCTCAGGTCATGCTGGTGGGGGACTCAGGCGTGGGGAAGACCTGCCTGCTTGTGCGATTCAAGGATGGGGCGTTCCTAGCAGGGACCTTCATCTCCACGGTGGGCATCGACTTCCGGGTGAGTGAGATGGATGTCCTGGGCCCCCAGCACCAGCTCATTGAGTTCTCACAGCACCCCTGGCAGCTGGTTCTCCATGATCCTGGGGCACTTACAGGCTCATGAGGTAGAGCTCCTAGATGGACCCCCGGCTCCCAGGGTCAGGGTGGGTGAGGTGGAATGCCATAACCATCAAGCTGCCTGCCGTCTGAAAACCCCAGGGTGTTGGAGGAAGATGGAGGCTCCATCTAACCAATGCAGCGATGGGATCCCTGTGCCTGGGGCCAGCACACCCCGGGGCTCTAACCTGTGCCTCTGGGTAGGTGGTCACGGGTGCCCCCAGAGCTGTCAGAGGGAATTCAAGGTCCGTGTTCACATGGAAGGCCAGCATTGCTGCCCCACTGTACAAAGGGGGCCCCGAGGTGCCAGGCAGGCCATCCAGGACCTACAAGACAGGTGGCTGTGGCCCTTGAACACACACCCCATCCAGCAGCTGAGGAAAGGGTATTATCTAGAGACCGAGGGATTGCTTAGGGCAGAGGTCCCTGCCCTGGGGTGAGGAGGCTCATGGGAAATGTTCCTACCCAGCTACTCTCCCCTGCCAAAGTCCCCTTACCACCCCTAGCAGGAGGGCTGTGTCCTGAGATTCTTCTGGGGGTGCCCTTGGATTCTTGGCTCCAAAGCCCTGACAGCGCCCCAGGCAGCTTATGGGGTCAGTAGGAAATGATGGGGACCAGGGTCTGAGGCTTGCAGGGCTCCAGCATCAGAGCTCCACTTCTGCCTATCAGTCTAAATTCCACGTGCCAGCGCTGAGGTGCTGTGTAAGTGCCGGTGTGTTCTCTGCAAATCCTGAATTTGCATTTTTCTCACCCTTTAATTAGACACAGTTGTCCTGAGGCTGGGAGGGAGGCCCACTCTGGGGATAGCAAAGGGGGGTTCCCTCCAGTCTGGGGGCCATTCTCTTCCCTCTTTAGGGGGACAAGGCCCCCTCAAGTCCTCTGGGAGGAAGAATAAAGGTTGCGGTGTCAGAAGGGGCTGTGTTAGGCTCAGGGCAGGTGGTCCTTTGCCTGTTCTGGTCCTCCTTCCCCCTTCTCACCTCCCCCTTGGCTCTGGGGCAGGTGGTGAGGGAGGTGAGGTGGTGAGGGAGGGTCATACCTCTGCTCCGGAGTCAGGGAAGGCGGGGTGTCCTCCCGAGCCTGGCAGATGGCTGGGCTTGGTTCCCTGGAGACCCAGAAGCACCTGACAGCAGCAGTTTGGGAAAAGGGAGACAGTGACATTCAGCCACCCCTCATCCCCACCCAGCACATGGAAGCCGGGGCTGGGCCCCGTCCTTTCGGGCTGACTAGAGGGCATGGCCAGGCAGCCAGCACATAGTGAGCACCCACTGTGTACGAGGCAGAGTGCTGCACTCTGTTTACTGCACTGGGCCCTGTCCTCGGAGAACTGCCATCCCCATGTGGAGAGCAGCTTTTATTTTTATTTTTTAAAATATGTTTTTATTGATTTCAGAGAGGAAGGGAGAGGGAGAGAGAGAAACATCTATGATGAGAATCATTGATCGGCTGCCTCCTGCAGGCCCCAACTGGGGATTGAGCCCACAACCTGGGCACGTGCCCTTGACCGGAATCAAACCTGGGACCCTTCAGTCCACTGTCCGATGCTCTATCCACTGAGCCAAACCAGCTAGGATGGAAAGCAGCCGCTCCATCCACTGAGCCAAACCGGTTTGGCTGGAAAGCAGCTTTTAAATTAGAACAAATGTGCCCAGGCTCAGTTGGGGCACTTATAGGAGGGAACTGGATTGATGTTTCTCTCTCTCCCTTCCTCTCTAAAATCAATAATAAATACATTAAATTAAATATATTAGAACACATGCTCTTAGCTGTCACTCTGGGCCGGACAGTTCTCAGTGCTTTGCACATAGTAACTCATAAATTCATTGGAGCAGCTATGTGATGGGTGCCCTGGTTATCTCCATTTGTGGGTGGGAAAACTGAGGCACAGAGTACTAGTAATGGACCTGTAATCTCACGGTGGATGACTTCCAATATCACGCAAATGGCCTTAAGCAAAAGGAGCAGCACCTGCAGAGCTGAGAGATGCCAGTCCTTGGTAAGGGGACTGGGGTCTACACTCTGGGGAGCGTGTAGGGGACAGGTGTGTGGGGTGAGGCTGAATCGGGAGTACCAGGGAGAGGGCAGGCTAGGGTGAAGGGACTGGGCTTGAGAGGTGCTGGGAGAGGGCCAGAGCAACTGGAGTCAGTGACTGACTGTGGTGGGTGGTGGCAAGGGACAGTGGAGCTGGTGGGGCCAGGTGCCAGGCTGCAGGGTGGGCAGAGGGAGGACAACCTGGTCCAGAATTAGACACCCTGCAAGTCTATCAGTATGGCCATCTGAGCAGGAGAGAGGCCTGGTGCCCTCTGAGCATGAATTATCAGGAGGGGCTCACCAAAGGCACCAGGGAGAGCTGGGTTGACTCTAGGACTTGGGTTCAAGGGGAAGTGTTATCATGTGGGTGTTGGGGGCAGAGTCAATTCAGGGGCTCATCAACTTCAGGCTCAGTCCTGGTCCTGCACTGCCTGCCTCTCCCCTCCCCCACCCCTTGGCCCCTGCCAGAACATGGCACTGGGCCCATTACTGGAGTTGGCTGGTTGTGTTTCAGAACAAAGTTCTGGACGTGGATGGCATGAAGGTGAAGCTGCAGGTGAGGCAACTGGGGGAGGGTGAGTTGAGGGCACTCAGGAGGGACTGGGCAGGCCTGACCGCCGGCCTGTACCTGTCACTGTAGATCTGGGACACAGCTGGCCAGGAGCGGTTCCGCAGCGTCACCCATGCCTACTATCGTGATGCACATGGTGAGCTCGTGGGCAGTGTCCCAGGCCGAGGAGTCGGGGCTGTGGTCTGTGTCTGTGTGTGCCCTGTTCCCTAGGCTTCTGCTCAGAGGAGGGTTGTGGGTGACTGGAGGTGTCCTCACTGGCCCTCTGCCCCCAGCACTGCTACTGCTCTATGATGTCACCAACAAGGCTTCCTTTGACAACATCCAGGTCAGTGGCTTCCTTCTGGGTTGGTGAGTGTGTGTGTGTGTGTGTGTGTGGTGTGAGAGGCCAGGATGGGTCCTGTTCCCACTCCAAACTCATTTAGGTAGATGGTCTGAGGACCCTACTGACAGCAGGGAGGGGGAAGGAGGGCGCCTCGGGGCTCCTGGTGGCCCAAGTTTAGAGTATGAGCTGAAGGTGGCCCAACCACCTTGGATACCTGTCAGGGGTATCTCAGCATGGCCCATGGCTAAATTTCCGGGCCTTTCCTGTGTGGGGTGTGGCTTGGAGAGGCACGGGGTGTGGAGAACACCAGCCTCCAGTCTGGTTTCAGCTCTCCCGTGACAGGCCTGGCTGACCGAGATCCACGAATATGCGCAGCACGACGTGGTGCTCATGCTGCTAGGGAACAAGGTGGGCACCCCGCCTGTCCTCTCCCCCTGGCTCTGCAGGGCGGTGAGCCCGAGGCCGGCTCTCACCAAGATCCCTGTGTCAGGTGGATTCTGCCCAGGAGCGCGTGGTGAAGAGGGAGGATGGGGAGAAGCTGGCCAAGGTGAGTCTGGGCGAGGTGGGTGGCTAGGGCTGCCCCCCATGGGGCTGTAGGGCCTGGGTGGTCCCCACCAGGCTGCCACCTGGCTGGCAGCAGCTATTTGCAGGAGTATGGGCTGCCTTTCATGGAGACCAGTGCCAAGATGGGCCTCAACGTGGATCTGGCCTTCACAGCCATAGCAAAGTAAGTCCTCGCAGCCACCAGGGAAGGCCTCCGGATTCAGACCCAGGCTCTGAATCCCCTTGTTGGGGGTCCTGGCCACCCTGTTCCATGGTCACCCCTGTCCCACAGGGAGCTGAAGCAGCGCTCCATGAAGAGCACCAGCGAGCTCCACTTCCAGCTGCACGACTATGTCAAGAGGGAGGGCCGCAGGGCCTCCTGCTGCAGACCCTGAACCAGGGAAAGCTGGTCGACAGGGCCCTCTACTGGTCACCCAGCGGTCAATCAATCCCAGGGTTTCCGGGACTCTCGGGCTGAGCCTAGCCCTTCCCTTGTCTGTGTTGCAGTCTGTATAACCTCAGTCCTAACAAATGGGCTCCAGAGAGCTAGCGGGTCTGCAGCCCTTTCACTTGCTGCCGGAGAGCCTTACCCCCAAGGCCTTCACAGAAAAGCAACTGTAGGAAGGGACGCACTGTGCAGGGCACTTGGTGCTCTCTGCTGCCCCCTCCTGGACATACTCAGTTTTTAGGCAGCAGTTTCTAACCCCTTACAAGCCATGTCTTCAGCTGCACATGCTGGCTGCCCAGGCAGAGAATGGCAGGACTCCTGACCAGGCCCCAGGCAGAGGACTTCACTGAGAATCACATGCGTTTGTGCCAAGGGCCAGGGGCACGTGCTCCCGGCCCACCCACTAGGAGGCTCTGGTTCAATCAACAGGATCTTTTCTCACGTCCCCTTGGAGGATGCCAAGATGTGGCTTTATAATACGAGAAATAGCATGTGGCAAATCACAAAAATGTCAGGTACACTGGGACCACCAGCCCTCGCCTGCTGACGAAGGTACTGTCTTCACACAGCTGAGGCCTGTACTTGGCGAGGTCAAGCTGAGAGGGCTGATAATGCACTACACCTTACACTAAAATCTCCAAGCCTGTTGAGAGAGAGCCTTTGTTTTCAGCCCTAGCGAATAAAGTTGTGTTTTCTGGAGTGGAATAAAGTTGTGTTTTCTGGAGTGCCTGTCTCGTCTGTTGAAAGCACCTTTTAGAGCTCTCGGCAAAGCCCAGATCCCGACTTCAAACTAAGAGGGTGGTACTCCCTCATAACCAGGTTGAGATCCAAGAACATGCCCACGAAAGAAAACAGAGCAGGGCTGCTGGGAACCTCAGTGCTATCCAAGGAGCACGTGGTAATCTGGGCAGTCAACTTCCCTCCACAAGACCCAGTGGGAAAGCTCTCAGTGGCCAATTAATCCTGTAGGAAGTGTTAGATTGCTGGAGGAGGAACGCATGAGGCCAGATGAAGTACAGAATGTTAAGTTTATTAAGGCATCTGCAAACAGATGGGCTGAGTCCCAAAATGGCATCACCCATGAGCGGTCAGGGCCTTTACAGGACCCTGGGTGGGTTTTTTCTGGGCGGGTCTGATGGAAAGTTACTGCATTTAGTCAAGGAGGATGTCTAAAGCCAGGTTCTCGGGCAGGGAAGGACAAGCTCTAGAGGAGGTTTGGATCACTGCTTGCCCAGATCTTTTGTTTATGGAACGGGGGCAGAGGTTGTTTCTTCTGTATCTGCTTCATGCTGGATGGGGGCACCAAAGACATAATGGGACAGATTTTGGTAGTCAGCCCCTGTGAGGTATTGGTCCCCGCCTGTCTGGGTGAGGTTCTGGTTCCGTATGGATGGTTGGTGAAAGCTTGGAAATGGTCCTGAAGAAATAAAGAAAAGTGGTGCAGAATACAAGGCCAAAGGCAAGACTAAGGAATATGAATGTTAACGGGCCCATAAAAGGAAGAAGTCAGGTACACCAATTTGTATTTTTTAGCCGAGTCCCGTGTGTTGGACTGACGCTCTCTAATTTTGGTGGCCATTTCTGTCAACTTCCGAACTGCATCTCTGCCTAGTCCTGCCTGGTTAATGTAAACGCAGCTCTCTTCCAGGAAGAGAAAAAACCTTTCTCAGCTGTCAGCAGGTCTGAGCCTCGTCTGTTCTGTAATGTTATAGCTGCAAAGGAATCAATTTGGTCTTGGATTTTAACTAAACTTTTAGCAGTATCGTCTGAGCCATCTTTTTTTTTTTTAAAAAAAAATACATTTTTATTGACTTCAGAGAGGGAGAGATAGAAACACCCATGATGAGCATCATTGATTGGCTGCCTCCTTCCTGCATGCCTCCTACTGGGGATGGAGCCCGCAACCTGAGCATGTGCCCTTGACCAAAATCGAACCCGGACCCTTCAGCCTGCAGGCTGATGCTCTATCCACTGAACCAAACTGGCTAGGGCTAAGCCCTCACTTGTAAGTCCTAGGATAGGGTTCTGAAGTATGAGAGGGCAGTCGTCAGCCCCCCTCTGCCAGTCCCGACTCCTGAGGTGATTCCAAGCGTTACTAGGAAGGGGCTATCTGTATTGCCCTTTTATGTCGAATGTGAAGGGTTATGGGAACGGGCCAAGACTGGTTGTTGGGAGCTATATCTACACTGGGTGAGAGATAAGAAAGGGTGCAAGTTCCTGTTCAATTAGTTGGGAGGCAGATGTAGCCATTATCCCCCCAGAGGAAAAAAAAATCCCAAATCGGGCAAACTGAGAAATGTAGAGGAAAAAAGGTGGATAGAGGGTATGTAATGGGTTTCCCTTGTTTTACTGGTTCTGTGCTCCCAATCATAAGGGTGGTCGCCCAAGTGCCGCCGATAAGGAGTGACAGCTGAGTGGTTGAGGTTTTAGTGCAGTGAGAGTGGGCGGGAATGCTAGGATGGCTTGTCACCCAGGGAAAAAGCCAGAGGGAAAGAAAGGAGCAGTTGAAGCTCTGGGCTTGGATGACTGGGTAGGCAGTACAGCAGACCGGCCGTAGGAAATGACCACTGACCTCTGCTGAGACCTGCTAGTTGACCGAATGGGATCAACGGCCTATCAGGAGTTCTGGAGTTTCAGAATTTACCAGGCGACCGAAAAATAAACAACGGGTACTCGAAGATTCAGGAAAAACTCTTCATTTGCAGGTGACTCGGGAGTCCTTCTCCAAAGCCCCAGTGCCGAATGTGGAGAGCCTCTCCCATTTGGCCCCTTGGTTTGTCTCCCCAAATATGGACCAGGCTCTGGACTTTTGGGGGGCTTTGCAGTCCCTCTGTGGGTTGGGATGGGGGAAATGAGAGTACACCCAGAGGCCTGGCCTGGGTGCTGCCAGTGACCCCCTCTAGCTAAGCTATTAAATTCTTGGGCCCTAACTGGTTTGGCTCAGCGGATAGAGCATCAGTCTGCGGACTCAAGGGTCCCCGGTTCGATTCCGGTCAAGGGCATGTACCTTGAAAAAAATAACAAATTTAAAAAAAATTCTTGGTTTATGGCCTTTGGAAACTGGGAGTATTTAGGAAAACAGATTATTGCCTAAGGAAGGGGCAGTGACTTAATTATAGGCTAACAAGAATATGCATTAGGACACTGGTTACTGGCACAGATTCAGATTGCTAACCCCCACCCCCCAGAGGCCCCCTGTATTCCCCCTCACTAGAGTAACTGCGGTGTTGCAAGGTGATGATGGAAGATGGCCTATTGATATATTGCCCTCTGATCTTGTAAAGCATAAAGGGATTTGGGCAATTAGTGGGGTGTGTAGGGTGACAGGGCCTGTGACAAGTATGGAGGTGGGAGCTGCAGTCGCGTGGGTTTGAATGGAAGTGCGGAAGAGAAGCCTGATTGGCAGGATAGTTGCCTCGGAGAGTATTTGCTTTATCTAGAAAAATGGCTCCCTTTTCCTTTTTATAGGTAAAAGTGGCCTTTGCCTGATTCCACTTAAAGAGTGGTACCGGGATAGCAATGCAGACAGAAGCCAAGGACAGGCAAAGCCAACAGTCTTGAGCTAGTGCTGGGCTTGGTTTGTTTAGAAGAGAATGGGTGCGGCTAAGAGAATTGAGGTAAGGACGTTTTTCAGGGGAGTGGGGGGAACAGGGTTGGCAGAGGAAAAGGAGGAGAGCTAGTCCCAGTTCCCAGGGCTTGGGTTCCCCCACGGGAAAACGAGGATGTTTTCTGGATCCAGGTAGGGAGAGGTTTTGTTCCATGGGTAGTTGAAGTCTCCTTGTAAATAAGAGTCCCATAGGTTAGAATCCAGTCATGAAGGAGGAGAGGGGCCATGGCTAAGATGAGAGGATTTGTTGGGGAAGCGGTGGTAGGCTTTCAGGGGGCTCAGAAGTATCGAGGGTTGTACAGAGGGGACATGTGCTGCCTTAGGAAGGCGCTCCCTCATTTGTCTTCTTCCTCTGGAATGCAGGTGAGTTGAAGTTTCGTGGGTCCGACTTGGTGGTTGTAGTATGGTGGGGATTTCAATGTCAGGGGGTTCTGTGGTGATGGTGTTCTGGGGACCTGTTTTAACCTAGAAAAGTGGAACCCTGTGGGGTGGCCATACAGTTGAGTGGCCATAGGAGTGATATAGGCCCAGCCATCGGGGCTGTAATTTGATGGATGCATTTCCTTCAGTAGGACCCAGTCCCCTGGCTGTAGAGGAGTGGGAGGGATCTCTCCCGTAAAGGGCTGTGGAAAAGTCTGGTCTGTATGCACTCATTAGTTGCCTGACGAGGCTATCTATAATAATAAAAGCGTAATATGCCAATTAGACTGGACAGCCAAGTGACCTGGACGAAGCCAGGGCTGCCGGGCCTCTAGTAGGTATAGGGGTTTCCTTGGAAGGTAAATATCCTACTACAGTCATGGGCAAACTACGGCCCGTGGGCCAGATCCGGCCCGTTTGAAATGAATAAAACTAAAAAAAAAAAAAAAGACCGTACCCTTTTATGTAATGATGTTTACTTTGAATTTATATTAGTTCACACAAACACTCCATCCATGCTTTTGTTCCGGCCCTCCGGTCCAGTTTAAGAACCCATTGTGGCCTTCGAGTCAAAAAGTTTGTCCACCCCTGTCCTAGTAGGAAGGGCTTTCCACACAAATTCGAAGGGGCTGAGAAAGGATGGGGCCCAGGGAGTTGTTCGGATGCACATGAGGGTGAGGGGTAAGAGGGAGGTCCAAGGTTCCTTAGTTTCAAGACTTAATTTAATTAAATGGGATTTAATTAGGGAGTTGGCCTTTATTACTTTGTCCGAAGATTGGGTTCAGTAAAGGGTATGTAAGTTCCACTGGATATTCAGAATAGAAGAGATTTCTTGGGTTATTTGGGATATAAAGGCAGGTCCATTTTCTGACTGTAAGGAGGTGGGCAGCCCAAATCAAGGAATGACATGTTGCATGAGGGCTTGTGTAACCTCAGATGACTTCTCAGATGTGGTAGGGAATGCCTTTACCCAGCCTGAGAAGGTATCTACCAGGGGTACAAGATATTTTCTTCTTTTACTAAGTGGAATATGAGTGAAATCATCTCGCCTGTCTTGTCCAGGAATCTGGCCCCTGGCCTGGTGAGTGTGGGAGATCTAATGTGTCCTTGTGGAGATACTGTACACAGACAGAGCAAGTTTTGGTGATATCTTGTAATAAGGAAGCTAGGTCAGGACATGTAATAAGAGGTCTTAAAAGCTGTACAAGTGGTCCGTATGCTCTGTGTAAGGAGTCATAAATGGCCCGTAATATATGGTGAGCTTGTCCCTGGCGGAGGACATATGTGCCCTGAAGTCTTATCTAGGGGTTTTCCTGGGTGGCTCTGAGAACAAGGAGGGACTCAAGTTCCCCAGGTGTGTATTGTGGTTATAAATAGCTAGGAGCTGAGAGGGTTTTCTTTGGGCCACTGTTCTTCCTGGTCCGCCCAGTTATTGCCCTGTATTACGGGATCATTGCCACAGTGTATGGCTGCTGCTGCCTAGGAAGGTCTGCTTCCTGTAGGAGACTGAGGATTAAGGGGGCATTGGTCATGGGGGAGCCGTTGGTGGTTAAGAATCCCCTTTCTGCCTTAGCCAATTTGGCACAGTGGATAGAGCATCGGCCTATGCACTGAAGGGTCCTGAGTTCAACCCCGGTCAAGGGCATGTACCTTGATTGCAGGCTCCTCCCTG